CGAGCCACCAAGCTCTGCGGTCTCAGGTGCGTCGTGGGTGCCCGATGAAGGCAAGGAGGAGGCTCAGAGTCCCAGGTTCTCTCCAGAAACCAGGCTTTATTCTAGGGTCAGGAGCAGTGGATGGGGGAAGGACTGGAAAGGTCAAGGGTAGGACGGTCTGAGCAAGGAGCACCTCCGTGCGCTCCAATTTAAGGTGGGGAGGGTACAAAGACAAGAACCAATCAGGGCATCTCAGGGGAGGAGTTGGGGGGAGGGTTTACAATGTTGGGGACCAATAGGAATAACACGTGGGAGGGGCGGCAGTCACAATGCCAATGGGGCTTCGAGTGAGGGATAAATGACAGGGAAGGAACTAGAACAAGAGGTGGGGTTTACATAGATTGATGGGGTTCAGGGGCAGGAACAGGGTGATGGACAAGGAAGGTTCAGGAAAAAGGGGAGGGGTTTACAAAACTGACAAGCGGGTAAAACCATTACAACTCATGGGGGGAACAACATCAAGAACAAACCATTTAAATTAATAACCTGAACAAAATAAACAGGCGGCAACACTACACCTGCATTGCAGCAATCCCAGCCACACCCACAGGCTGGGCAGAGAAGTGATTGAGAGCAGCCCTGTGGGGAAGGACCTGGGGGTGGTGGCTGGTGAAAAACTCACCATGAGCCCACAGTCCTTTTTCACAAGGAAATCCCGGGCTGCATCCAAAGCAGCATTGGCCAGCAGATTGAGGGAGGGGATTCTGCTCCTCTGCTCTGCTGAGACCCCACCTGGAGCACGGCATCCAGCTCTGGGGTCCCCAGCAGGAGGACAAGGAGTTGTTAGAGCAAGGCAGAGGAGGGCCAGCGGGTTGCTGAGGGGACTGGAGCACCTCCCTGTGAGGATAGGCTGAGCGAGTTGGGGCTGTTCAGCCTGGAGAAGAGAAGGCTGTGGGGACCTCACAGACACCTTCTGGTATCTGAAGGGCCCACAGGGAAGCTGGAGAGGGACTCTCTGACAGGAACTGGAGTGACAGGGCAAGGAGGAATGGGCACACACTAAAAGGGGGGAAAATTAGATTAGATACAAGGAAGAAATTCTTTACTATGAGGGTGGTGAAACACTGGAACAGGTTTCTCAGGGAAGTTGTGGATGCCCTATTCCTGGAAGTGTTTGAGGCCAGGTTAGATAAGGCCTTGAGCAAGCTGGTCTACTGGGAGGTGTTGCTGAACGTGGGAGGGAGTGTTAGGATTAGATGGTCTTTAAGATACCTTCCAACCCTTAATGTCCTGTGAATCAATGACTCTATGACATGCTGTCTTTACATTTGTCGATGTGACGTATTCTTTATTCTGTTGCATCTTGTAGATGTCACATCTACACTGTGTACAGAGGCATGTAGTTCATGTCGTTAAAAACAATATTAAAATCGGATCTGAATGGAAAAAGGTCTTATGTCCTGAAAAGGAGAGGAAGGGCAATTAAGAAATGGTCTTAAATATAATATGGGGAAAGGCATGGCTTTGATGAATCAATTTTTTAATCACTTGAAGAAGACAGTTCTATTCATATTTGTTAAGTCATTAAAATTTGGGTTTTATAGGCATCTTTTAGTTAAACACTTATGCTCATACAGTGAAATTTTCACTCGGGCATGTTCTCTCATCATTTTCACATGTACAGCCTCTTCACTAAACAGCCAAAGAGCTGTTTTGTCACGTGTCATGTAGCAGTGTCCTGACAAGCACGTAAGATTTGAGCAGCATGTCAAGGTAGTGACCTGCTGAGTCACTACCTTGGTTTCTGGCAGGTAGTAACTAGGACCTGCCATGCCAAGTAAACAGCTGCTAATTGCTACTGAAGAAAGTGGGAGCAGGGGGTCTGAACCAGATGGGCAGCTCACATCTGGGAGAAGTTGTGGCGGTCTCTCTCCCCAGTTCTTTCCTCTATTTCACCAATGCAGATGCTTGTCTGATCATGTAGCAAGTTGCTTACATTTGCTAATGTAGTACAAATACTTTCTTTCCTTCATTTTCTGATGTTTTGGCAAGTGGAAGTAACTTACTGTGTGGCTAGAGAAGCACTAGAAGAGAGGAAAAAGGTACAGGATGGATACAGGATGAGGAGCACCAACTGTGTGTGTATGGAATCTTTGACTGTTTAAGGTTTCTGGTGTTCATGTGAAACTAGAATTTTTCAAAGGCTTCTAACTTGGCATTGCAGCCAGCTTGGTTATGCCTGTTCTTGTAGTGCTGTGCTCCACTGTGGTGGGATATGTCATGGTATGTGGTATTTTCAGCTTAAGCATTCAAAAATATTTTCATGATTTGCCAATACTTCTGAGTTCAAATTAGTTCCTAAAAAAGAATGGGATTACTGGAACTAGTTAAAGGAATATGATAAAAAATTTGGAAAAAATTGGAAACAGCTGAACTGTTCTGGTTGAAATGCAGCCTCTTCTGTCTCATGTCCCTCAAAAATAGCAAATCCACATGTGTAGGATATCAGCAGAAGCTTTATCTCTTATTATGGGGAATAAACTAGGAGTTAGAGAAACACATGTGCCTGCAAAGCTGTGGTCTTGGCATAGTGGAGATGTGGTGGGACGGTTCCTATGGCTGGAGTGCTGGAATGGAAGGATATTTATGAAGGACAGGCAGGGGAGATGAGGAGATAGTGTTGTCTTTTATCAGGTGACCACTGGGGAGCACAGAGCTCTGCCTGGGGGCAGGAGAGGAGCTGACAGACCAGTGATGGGGCAGGGACAGGGACAAGGGGACATCATAGTGGAGGTCTGCTACAGGCTACCTGACCAGGAAGGCTGAGCAGATGAGACTCTCTACAGACAGATTTGAGGAGCCTTTTGTTCATAAACCCTGGTGTTCATGGGGGTCTTCAACTTCCCCATCTCTCTGAAGGACAGCACAGCTAGACATGTGCAATCTAAGGGGTTTTTGAAATGTTTTGGTGGTTACTTCGATCTCCAAGTGGCAGTGGAGTCAATGAGGAGAAGTGCTATGGTGGACTGTGTTATCCCCAACATGGAGGGGCTGGTGGGAAGATGAAGCTCAGGGGCAATCTTGACTTCCATGACTGTGAAATGCTGGAATTTGATCAAGATCCTTAAGGCAGCAAGGACAGTAGGCTCATTATCCTGGACTCAGAGGAGCAGACTTCAGCCTCTTCAAGAACCTGCTTGGTAGAATATGATGGGATAAAAGCCTGGAGGGAAGAGGGGCCCAAGAGAGCTGGATGATACTCAAGATAAAAATCTTTCTCAAGCTAAGGATTGATGCATTCCAACAAAGAGGAAGTTGGTCAAAAACACTGGGAGGGCTATTTGGACGAGCTCAAACACAAAAAGGAAGCCCATACCGAATAGAAGTAGGAACAGGTAGCCTGGGAGGAGTACAAAGAGCAGCCAGGGATCAAGTTAGGAAAACTAAGAGTCTTGATAGAATTAAATCTGGAGAAGGCCATTAAATGAAGGGCAATGAGAAAAGCTTCCAGTGTTGTGCTGATACAGAATACTTGGAAAAACTACTTTTTTTTATTGCCATGAATAGTGTAATCCATCTTTACTTCTTTGAGAGCAAAAACATACATCCTATATGAATAAGTAGTAATAC